GGGGGGGGCGCCCCGTAGTCACCATGGCAACCCCCTCATAAGCACCATGGTAACCCCTCAGCACCATCATGGCACCCCCCCTCATAATCACCATGGCAACCCCCCTCACAACCACCACCAAGGGCCCAGGCCGGACCAGGCCCGGCTGCGCGGAGGGGACGCTTAACGCGCGTGCCCCTCCCTCGCACGTGTCGGGCGGAGGAGAAACGTGGACGTGTTAGCCTGTCGGTGGAAGGGCTCGAGTGCGGGCGAGCGACGCGTCGAGGGTGATATTTATGGCTACGCTACTAGGGGGCTGCGAAACAGGCGGACGCACGCTCCTCGCCTGCCACGCGCACGTGGCCGCCCGCGACGTTACCTATTGGAAGAGCTGACTTGGAAAGAGAAGGGCCTCGCTGGGGTTTGCTGGTTTTTTCAGGCTCGTTTAAAAAGCGGGGGACGAATTTGGGCCCGGTGTGTGCCGGGGGCGGTTGTGCGCTGGAAGCCGACCCCCTGACTCTTCAGGTTCACCCTCGTCTGGGACCGCCTGTATCGTCCTCAGCAGGGGCATGGCTATGGCAGCGCTACATTCGGACGGTGAGCGACCGAATCTCACGCTTCAGGGCTTCGTTTTGGGGCAGGGAGGATTTCTTCCACCCGGCGGAGAGGGACCGCAGGAGAGCATCGAACCCAAGCCCCCGCTCAAGGCCAGGCGTCCTCGGGCTCCCGGTGCTGCGGACAAGGTGAATCCCACACGTAATGTCACGTCAAGTCTCAAATACCGTGACAAGCCCGTGTGCCTCTTGCAGTCGTTTTGCTTTCCCATGTGCTTGCTGTGCAGGCGGGTTAAGGATAGGCTTCTGGTACGTTGTTTTTATTGCCATGGGGAGCACACGCGATGCAGCTTCTCACTGCACCGTGCGGAGGGCTCCTTGCACTCCTGCCTACCCCACCATCTCTCTCGCCTTCTTTGTTCAACAACATCTGCCCTCCCTCATGCCTCGGCCTCTCTACGTCCCCCATTCCCCTTCCCCTCCATGCTAAGCGTGTCCGTCCCCTTCTGATTTCTCCCATATCAGCTCCCCCACTTCCCTCCCAGGTAGGTGCAGTCCCCCTTGCCAAGTTTCTGCAGACCCTCCCCACCATGCCAGGGGTTGCATGCACGCTTCTTTTCTTCATACCTGCTGTCTTCTGTTGGCCACTCGGTCTTGGAGAGAAGCGATTTGTATTCACTCCTATTGAGGCAGGGAGAGCAGAGATTAAATAGCTGCATTGATTATGGTAGAAAGTGTGGAGAGTTGCCATTATTTAGCTCTGTGTGCTGTAGAGCGCTGCAAAAGTACTTGACGTTGTGCGTTCATTGACCGTATGGTAGGTGCTCTACATATCCCACGTTGTCGCACTTCCAATTTTCTGGTTTTCTTCCAAATCAATCTTTTTTGTTTTCCCCTTGGGGATGCTAAGATATTCCCCAAAACTGCAGATTAAAGACACCGGGACACAGACAGGCAAATGCTGTCAGGTTGAGTGCAGGGTCTTGCAAACACAGTCAAGTCTTTATGATTGTGGTTCTTGTTGCTACAGTGCCTAGACCTAATTAGGGATCAAGGCCCATTGGATGGTCTCTGACCCAAAGAATTTACCGAGAGCAAAATTAACAGTTTAGTTTAACACTAGCAATGAGTTTTTCTCTTAAATGAGGCTGTGCCTCGTTGCTGAAGCTTTCACTTCAGTGAACTTCCCTGCACATGGACCCAACATCACTGCGTTTCAACCATGTTTAATGGTTTAAATCAAAACACTTAATCATACAGCGGGCCTGGTGAATAGAATCGTAGATTAGGAAGATACGAACACTATGTTCTTTCAGGCTTCCTGGAATACTGCTTTTCCCATGCTCTTTAGTTTGCATAATTATGCCATATTTCCCTTCAGGATGATGCTAGATTAAAATACAGTTTTAGAGATTTTTTTTTAATTGTTTAATCATTAACTGATTTCTTCCTTGAATGCTGGACTGCATCATTGCTTCAATCTGGCAAACTTCAGGTGCTCCTCAGTAAGCAGTACCTAGCTTTGGGAGAAGGGGTCTGGATTATGCAGCATGCATGTGTATTAGAGAACTAGACATCGTAACTGAATAGAAACATTAATAATAAAAGAAGCACAACTGCCTGGGCAGTTTTTGCATTGGCACTACTATATTAAACTTGTTTTATGTTAGATGCACATTTTCGTTTTTGATCTGATGCAGATTTGTCTATTTGTGAACAAGCACTACCACATAAGAGGTCAGTGATTGGTAGCAGCGTTTGCATGAATTATAATTTTAGCAACTGGTATTTTTAGAAAATGCACAGTGACAAAAAGAGCTGATTTAGGGGGTAGACTAAGCTAATTTATTTGATATTTCCATTACAGTGAAATACATAACAATGTTGACATTTGGAGTGTCAGCTCCTGCTTTTAGAGGTTAACCTGGGGTGATGAATTAGTTCACAAATCTCAGAGTCATTATTTGCACCTGCTACAGATGCAAGGGCCTTGTCTGTGCTTGGAAAATGCATTACATTAAGCTTCAGCTTGACCAGATCAGCACGTTAATGACAGTCTTACTCCACTACACTGGACTTTCAAACCAGGTTAGCTTCTGCTGACATTACTCCTTCAAATCCTTATTCTAGGCAAGGGCACAATGTTAAACACGGTATGGCTTTATGGACCTGGATTATTGTGTTTAATAAAAACATATTCATTAGCCCTGTCCTGGTTAGTCCTTTCCCCTGCTTGAGGCTGGAGGAAGTACAACCAGTGCAGCTTTCATCTGTCTTCATTCACCTTACAGTTTACATCAGAAAAACTAGTCAGCAGTAGCTAAAATCAGGCCTAATCTCTGTCATCATCAGTAAGACCTTGGTTGATGTCTTCAAGGCAATATTTTGTGGCCCTGAGAGTGAACAGATCTTTTTATTTCTTAATAAAAACAGATTGTGGAACACAGTTTTGTTGAAGGGGAGGCTCCTGTATCCGTAAAACACACAGCGTTGCTCCACCATGTCGTACTTAATATAAGTGGTAGAAACGTCCTTATAATGGGACATTTTAATTAATGTTTGTGCACAGCTCTTAGATTAAGAATTTGAGGGGCTCTGCAGGTTATC